GCAACAAATCTAAAAACATTTGTATGCCATAGACCTGCATATGAGACTCCTTGGATTCGATTAGGGCGCGCCCTGTATTAAAGGCGCTCGATTGCTGTGCAGCATTTGCTTTTAATTCGCCACTAAGCAGCGAGATTAGACATTTAATACGCTCATGTATAAGCTGGTTGGGCGATTGCGTTTGCAGCTGACGGAGTGCGGGCACCAAGTCTCGGTAAGTTTCAGGAATTTGTGTTTGTTCAAGTAGCTCTTGGGTGAGGGTGAGTAAAATAAGTAATGTTTGATCCATAGCTTCAGTTTGTTGGCTGCTGATATTAGCCGCATTGCGCTTGCTTAAACGTTGCTGCAGCAATGTGCGTAGGAAGCGTAAAAATTCGACGGTATTTTCCGAAATTTGCGCCTTAAGCGGTTGATGCGATATAAGTGTGTTAAGGGAGAGTAAAATCTCTACCTTTACCGGGTATTTGGAGTTAAGGAATGCAAGTAACTCTTCCTCGGTTTCCAACAACTCGATTTGCGTTTCTTGTTGGGCGAGACCATCGTCAGCTAAGGTGAGCGACATTTGGTGCAATAAAATCATGAATATTCTATAGGTGAGCTGGTGGTGTTCAGTATTCATTAGTAGCTCTGGCAACGCTAATGAGGGACTAAATTCTTGTTTTACATCGATGCTGCCTATTTTTACAGTAAGTTGGGTTTGCTCGGCATTAGGATAGATAATTATGCGTGGATGCAGCCGATGCCAATCGCTATCAAATGTTTGCTTATACAATTTGGCTATAATTTCTTTCAACTCATCATTTGTACGATTGTGTAGACAACGCACTACAATGCTTGCAAGTTGTTTCTTTTGCAGAAATCCATCCGGCATATGATAGTACATTTGCAAAAATAGCGGCTGATAAGGAATCAATAATTCACTGGGTAGACATTCAACTGTTGAACTGCAGAAAAGTTGATATGTTGCGGCGATGAGCAACGCTAGATCTCTATGTTCCAAAACAATCAGGCCGCTAAGTATGTCTGTCGGTTGACTTAATTTAGCAAGATTATTTGCAAAAATTTCGCTTATCTCAGACTTATTTACTGCGCTTAAATCGTAGAGGCGACGAAGTGATAACAGCCCAGCGCCCATACAGTCGATCATCGCACTTTCATTTAATAAGCAAGTATCAAGAAATTTAAATACTTGTCTTATCAGTACGCTTTGTGCGCGTTGCGTATGACCACGGAAAGCGACTATATTAGAAATAATCTCAAAAACTTGCTTCTCAGTTTGCAACGCTCTGCTCTCATCAGCTCTAGTGGATTGTGCACTTTGTGCCGTATGTAAAGTTGCAACCAACGTTGTGAATCCATCTTTGGATAGCAGTTTTTGTATGAGTTCTTGATGCAGTTGCTTTTGCAAGTCAGTTGGCGCACGTGGTATGCCCTTCATCAGCATTATATTGCGCATGTATTCCACTTTGGTTACATATAGCCAAATATAATTGAGTTTGTTTTGCAACACCTTAAGCGATTGTTCCTGCAGTGAAAATTCTTGCATAATATTTGCCAAACGCAAACTGAATATTGCTGCCATGTAATCCCGCATCACCGTCTCCATCGCGTTTGCCATATGAAATTGCTTGATTTTTAAGAAGCGCTCAAATACTTCTATGGATAATAGAAGTAAAGCAGGATTACTGCAACTACTTTTTGATGCGCCCTTATCTTTAAAAACGCTTGCTTCATAGAATGTGCTATGTAACTGCCCATGTAAGGCATGTGTCGCCACATCCTGTACTGCTTCAATACATTGGTTCAGGTGATGCGTCGATATGAGATCTTCTTTAGCTTCGCTGTTGAAGGCAACACTGTCTATAATTTGGAGTAGCATAAATTGCATATATGCGACATAGGTGAGCTCTTTGTCTTCATTAGCGATATGAAGAGGATGAAATTGCAACTCATTTTCCAACCACTGAGCATTAAGTGTGACTAGAATTTCCTCAAGTAATACGTTTACTTCCGCTGGTATTAACTTCTGCAGTATTGAAATATTGAGTTCCAAGCGATGCCTTCGGTTAACACCAAGGTTATTTCCTGCAACCCCTGGATTACAAGAGTGCCTATTTTCATCATTTGGAAACTGTGTATTATTAATATTTTTACCTTCGTCATCTGTGAGTTTCAGAGTCTCTAAAGCTGAGAAATACTTTGCAACATTAACGTCGACCATTTGTTCGTTTATTTTGATAAAAAACGTTAACTAGAATGTGAAAATAAAAACACATGAAGGACAAGGAAAAAATTGTTTACAATTCCGCGATAGGGTTGCAGATTTCGAGAAAACATCAATGCATCGAAAATATCGATGTTTTGCTTCGATGCATCGAAAATTTTCCTCTCGATGTTTTCTGTAAACTAACATCACACTACATCGAACGGTCAAACATCGCTTTGTCTGAAGTTTATAGAGAGGAAGATGCAGTTTTTAGCTCATAAAATGTTAGAATAATAAAGTGCAAGTTTCAATTGCTTTGATTTTTAATATTTTTTCTTTGGCTGACTTGCACTTTGTTATACTAAAATTGTATGAGCTATAAAACTGCATACCCAAAAAGTTTCTTAATGTTTTATTTCTATAGTGGAGGAAAACTATGCGAGTCGATGCATCGATGTATGCCCTCCAATGCAACCACAAATATCGATGTAAGTTTCGATGCATCGATGCGAGAAAAATTATCGATGAACAGTTGTTTCTAAAATTCCTAGGCAAGACAGATGTGAACAGGGGGACACTAATGAACAAACAATTTTCCTAACAGGGTGGATTTAGAATATTGGTACCAAAAAAGGTAATTTTATAAGAAGGGACAACTTCTAAAAAACGTAAATCTATAAATTTATCTTCTTTGCATTTACGTTATTTGGTTCCTAAACGATTCGCTCCGCTATTTGGTACTAATTTCTGGCATGTAATTTATTTCTACCCATGGTGTAATGAACTGTGTACTTAATTTCTACCATACAAATTTTATGGTTAAATGTTTTTGCAACTCTGCAGAAAACAACGAATCACGACCAAAGCAAAATAAACGATTGACAGACGTAATAAAACTGTCATTGTCAATTCTTAACTTTTCTGATTTCTTCGCGATTACTGGCAGTGAAAAAGTTCGATTATTTAATTTTCATACAATCGCCAGCAAAAAATAAAAATCCGAAATAAGTTTCATTATTGAACAGAATTCTTATATTTTGTTTTCTTTTGCATATAAGAATTATGGAAAACTAATTGGCGTGGTAAAAAAAAAGTGCCAGAGAAAAAAATCGAAGGCGAAAACTTTCTTTTATGTATTAAAAACGGCGAAAGCAGCAGCTGTTGCAATTAGTGGGTAATTGTGTAAAAGTGTAATAAGTGTATGTAAAACAGTGAAACGGAAATAAATATTTTAGTGCATTCTAAATTTACCACATCCGTGAGGTTGTCGCCGGATAGTAGCGGTGGATTCACAGCTAGTGGGCGTTTCGTCATCAACGTCAGTTAACGTTACCATTACCCACCTTCCCCGTGTAACGCATGACTCCTAGCCCACTTCGGGTGGATGCGCAATTCATATTGCAATAGCGAGACCCAACTCAACGTCAACGTGTAATTTTTTACTACCTGCCGTGCAGCATCCGCAAACGTTCCATACTAGCGGTCGACAACACAACCACCTTGGCGTGGTCAACCAATTTTCGCCAACATGAAGAAAATATTTTCAAAATTCGATAAGAATGAAAAACTGGATAATTCGCACAATTACTCCACGTCGAAGGAGACTAACAGTTTCGTTGGAAAAGTGTTTACGGTGGGACGTGTGAGTGTTACCGTCGAAGATGTATTGGCCGAAGGTGAGTTGGCAATTGATTTTGTTTTATAAAGAAAAATATATACATATAATAGAATAGTGCAATAATTGTAATAGCCATGTCTGTTGTATTAGTGCAAGAGCAGTTACTTCTGTTATGTGCTGTGAGTATAATACACTACTTGGAATAGTTAACTTATACATACATATATACATACATACGGAGTATATTGGGGCCACTTGCTATGTAGTACAATGGGTTTACTTATTTTCTTATCTGCGACAGTTCCACTTGAGTATGTCAACGTAGGCTGATTGGTTAGAGAAACATTTGAATTGTAAAGATTAAGTTAAGTAAATCACTACGTATGTACATATATATGTATGTACGTAACGTGGACTTCAGGTGCAGCGATATCTTAAGATTAGATACGCTTTTATATTGCTGATATGAATTTATGTGAAATGTTAAGACTCGTAATATAAATGCAAATGTGGACATCTACATAAATTTAATTTTCAAAAATAGCGCATGCATGTATTTAAAAAATAGCACATGCATAACATTTCAAAGAACCAGCCAACCAACATTTTTGTTAAATTTTGGCTAGAGCTTAAGTATTAAGTATTCCAAAATTACTTCAAAAACTTCACTAACCTTCGAATTTATTGTTGACCTAGACATAATTTAGTTTCGCTTGTCTACTTTACATTTTATACGTACAATGCCAAAGTCTAGGGCATGCCTACGGAGGAAAACTACCAATAATGCACACATACATACATACATCCTCATATAGATATGATTGTACAATCAAAATGTTTACGCCTCCTTTACAAGGAAAGCAAATATGCATTTACTGAAAACCCGTATTCTTGTAGCTGCAACTAAGGGATTGTTATTCCTACAAGAAATCTATATACTGCTAAAGGACACTTTTATGAACTTTTATGGTTAAAAGGCTAACACCAATTAATAATATAAGGGCCGATATTTTCATAAATTCATCGTGATCCTCCAAATTTTGTTATTAATTTTTTGTTTATTTACAAACAATTTGTTCTTAGGCCCACTTGCAGAACAGCAGGTTCTCTATTTAACCCGAAGTTTAGTGGTTAAATTGATAAATTGGCTTGTACAATCAATGGTTAGGAGTAAAATTAGAGTTAAATCGTTAAATATTTAGCCCAGCAATTTTCGAAGGTTAACTTCCTAACTCTACGTATGTCATTTCTGTCAATAACAAGAAAAAATAAATTGAGATTTCAAAAATATTTTTGAAAACATATGTACATACATACATACATATTCACGTATTCATTATTCCGCCTTCAGCTCTGAGGTTTTGGTCAGTCTGGCGTAAAAAATATATGCGATTAAAATGCACCAACCGTGTTAGTAGTCCATCCAATTAAGAGAACTCTCGGAAGTGCCGCTGGCCAATTTAAAATTTGTACCTATTTATGCATGTATGTATGGAAGTGTTTGAAATTCTATATTCAAATGTAAATAAACGTCAAAAAAGAGAGAGTGGTGCCTACTTAATTTAAAAATCCCTCGGGTTACTTAGCTCTGCGCCAGTTTTCAACGCTGCAAGACAATGTCTGGTTAAGGAATATAACAATTTAACTCTGAGCTACTTATCTCTCTATTTATACATTTAACTCTGGATGTTCTGCAAGTGGGCCTTAGAATCGAAATTTGAACAAACAAAAGGTATTTTGTGGGATACGACTCGGTTGTTTACAATAATTTTGGGTTATTGTGTCCAAACGCTTAACCGAAAGCAAAAAATTTTAACACACATGCTCAAACAAATAAACGTTAATTTAAAATAAAAATTTCAAATTTTCAGATACAAATTTATGATTAAATTCGGTTTGAAAAATGGACCTTTTTGTAAAAAAATACTGTGGTCAGCGTAGCCGGAGTTGGACTGATGAGGGTAATTTTTTCTAAGCGCTGCCGAAAACCTACAACGTGGAAAGATATTTTGCGCAAAAATCCTGTTGTTGGCATAACCCGAGTTTACCTTTCTCTGTCTGATTTGACCCCATTTTTCAGTGTTTCCCCCCTACCATCGCACAAATAACCGAAAATTTCCATTTTTGTGTTTGAAAGAAGAGCTCTTAGATCTCACTAACAATAAATCATAAATTTTGTTTCACACCCCCTCCAATATTGAACAGTAAAATATATTTATTTTTACGCCAAAAAACAACGATATTGTCGAAATATACTAGAATTGCATAATACTCACGGTGACCAGATTTCTGTTGCCAAAAATTGGGACATTTCTAAAGTATCGAATCCGAACCTACAATACTGTTTTTAGAATAAAAAGACAATAGCTTTTAATACAGTTTTATTTAAAACAAAACAAAGAGAAAAAACTTGAACAATGGTCGCCAAAATGTAATTTTAGCAAGTTTTGGCTACTTTTCTTTGTTTAAAAAATGTTTATTATTTATTTATGAAAATAGAACTTACTATCTAAACAAATATGTAAATCAAAATTTCAACTTTGTAAGACATTTATAAAAATTCGAGAAATTTCAATAAATGTTGATCAAGATTTTAAATATTTTAATAAGATATTCTAGATTTTTTTTTGAGTATGCAGTTTTGTAGCCCATCAAATTGTTTTATAATAAAATTATAGTTTAAAAAAACTAAAACCTCCCTATTATAATTGCCATTCGTACTGTCATCAGGTATGTAACTTGAGAATAGAAATCGCTGCATCTTTTAGGCGCATCAATGTTACATAGTTACATCCCGAGCTAATAAAAGGAAGGTAAAAAAGTGCAAAATTGAAGAAGCTTGGTCTTACCGTTGATTTTCGGAAATTTTTTGTTCAACAATCTTTTTGTATAGAAAAAATGAGGAACATCTTCCACAAAAAAAAAAAAAATACTAAAAATCTACGGTAAGTCTAAGCTACTTTAAATTTTCACTTAGAAGTGAATGGGCTACAAAACAGCAGGAAAAATTTCAGCGCAAAAATACTGTGAACAGCGTGACCGGTTTTTTATTTTTTTTTATTTTGAAGATAATATGTCGCATACCTAATGAAAGCTTGATTTTTGTATTATTTATTTATAAGAATTTTAAATATTTGATTTGGTAAATTCAAAAAAATCCATATCTGAAATGCTGAACCAAGGCGAATTAATATAAGGTAGTAGGAGTACAAAAACAAAAATTTACATGTATTTTGTTTTTATTTTGGCGGCATAAACTGTCAAAATCTGTAAGAGTGTGTGTAGAAATTCAAACAAAATTTTTCAATTTGATATCAGAAGCCGTGCGGCGAAACACATACACAAAATCAGCTGAGCTAGTAACACCACCTTATATAAATTCGCCTTGTGCTGAACCATTTTTTTGCTGAAATTTGTCTGATTGAATTTTTGGTTCATTATGCTTTCCTTCTGCATTTCACAAATGCTTCTTCGTGGT